CAAATAAATGTTAAATAGGATGGGGGAGAGAGCTATGTCCCAAGCACTCCATGGAGTAGTTAGAACTTTGATCTTTCTTCCCCCTCAATACTGAGTAGAACCATCTGCTTTAGGCAGGAGCAGTATTACTGTAAAAAAAAGTGCCTCCAGTCCCCAGCTCTCACAAGCAGCCCAGGAAGACACCATGGTTGATGGTATCGAAGGCTACTGTGTGTCTAACAGGATCAAAAGGGCTGCACTCCTTCCATCCAGGTCCTGTTGCAAGACATCCACAAGAGCAACTAATGCAATTTCTATCCCTTACCCAGGCTTGAACCCAGTATCCAGACAATCCACTTCTTCCAAGGTTCTCTGCAAATGAACCCACTCTCCTTTCTCCAAAATCTTCTCCTAATAGGGGAGGATGGATATGGGGTAGAGGTTGTCCAAATTTTCTGGATTTAGAGATGCCTCATTCAGGAGGGGCATATAGCTGCCTCCTTCAGGGCAGAGGCACCATCTATTCCCTTAAAGAGGCACACATGACTTTCCTGATCCAGCTTCCAGTCCTCTCTTTGGCAGCCTGAATAAACAAGAAAAGGCAAGGATCCAACTCATATATTGCAGAATTCATGCTACGGAGACCCTTGTCTATTTCCTTGGAGTCCACAGCATCAAATGAATCCCAGATAACCTGGTGAGACTTTGTTCCATTCTCCTTATTGGACTCTATATAAGAATCATCAAGCACCCAGGCCTTATTTTAAAAAGCTTTCAAAATCTGGGTTTTCTCCCAGGCTGTTGGCTCACTTGAATGGTGTAGTCTTCAAGGGAACGCTTGTTGTTGTGAGGATACGCCAAGCCTTTTGTACTGCTTCATTTTTTGATCATTATTCTGTTTGGTTTGCATTTAATATTATACACCACCCAGTGCCACTTTGAATTGGGTGGCCTTACAAATCTAATTAATTAATTAATTAATTAATTATCAGGCTCTGACTGAATATGAATGGTTTAGTCTTCCAAATGCTTTGCAAAAAGGCCACAATGACTGAAGGGAGCATTCTTGCTTGCCAATCCCCAAAAGGAAGTGGGTCAACCTGAATAGAGTTGCTGGACAGCAATCTGAAGATACAGTTAAGGACTCAAAAGTTCTAATCGTTTGCCAGCCTTATGTAGGCTTAAGCATGGACTTGTACCTTTGTTTGGTCAGTTCATTTCATTTTTCACCACCATCACTCTAAATGTCTCTTCTGCTGCTTCTTTTCCTGGAGCTCCTTGGTAAACCAAGGAGTATATTACTGAAACCTTCTTACTATTACAGTACTAAGATTACTAGGGTAAACCCAGCTGAAATAAAGAGCTTTGTAACAGCAAGACTCTTTATATTTTACTGAGCTTTGGAGAAATAAAACTCACAAGCCCAGAATTTATAACTACCACTCTGATAGATATCTATTACTAATCCCTATTGCTTTTGTTCATCTGGTCTATGTGGCAACTAAAAGTTGATGCTAACTTGATAAAACATAATCATTTTTGTCATTTTATAAAATAATTCCTTGAAGTAGAAATGTTGAAATAAATACTGAAAATCATGTTAGATAATATTGCTTCTTCTGTCCAAATTCCACGTACAGCTAGGTCTCGATTAGCACTGTTATTGTAATGAATCCCATGAAATGGTCACACTATTTGAATTCGCACTATTCAAAGTGATATTTCTACGGAAAATAGGGTAATTGGTTCCAGCTTGATGGAAATAGGCAATGAAATATTTTAAACATAAATTGTATATATTAATGAAATATTACAGTAAAGGATAAAAAGAATATATCCATAATTTAAATTTATGGTTAACAAACTCACAAAGTAGTTTTAGAAAGCAAAATAAAAACAAAAACTTCTAAATATCACTCCTAAAGGTAAGCTTCCACTGACAAAAAAATATTTATTGTCTCTCAGTCT